AATTAAACTTACTTAATATGCTTTCAATGATATCAACATCTAAGCAGGGTTTCCCATTCTTCTCAGTCAAACTTTTTCCAATAAGTTCTGCATCTTTGTAGAAACAGCTTAAAAGAAAGCATGCTGTTGCTGTTGCAGTTTTTTTGGTGTGTGCCTTAGTTATGTGGCTCTCATAAACATAAACTCTTTTGCCTGGACACAGCTCTATCATCTGCAAGTATAAACAGGTTCTATACTTCATTATTAATGAGATTACAGCCTTTTGCAAAAATTATGAGAATTGTCTAAATATCTAAATATCATAATATCCATATCCATATATTGTCCAGAACACGCGGGTTTGCTAGAAAAATTCATTGTTGACATCGAGAAAATGTTCAGAACTACGGACTAGAAGTCTGTCGCCAAAAAAAGCTAAACTACAAAGACAAGAGACTAAGGGCATCGCGCGGGATTACCCATCATGCACTCGATATTATGATATTTAGATATTTCGACAATTCTCATAATTTTTGCAAAAGGCTGTATATTATGTGAATGTAAATATATATTATATATATCTTACTTGATGTTGTTCAGCAATAGCTTTTGGCACTTTGCCTGGTCTTGGTGCTTCAGCATCAGTTGTGCCAGATCTGTACTGATTAAGTTGATTAGTCAAAAGTGTATTTGCTGCCTTGAGTTCATTCATCTCGGCCAAGAGACTGTCACACCTTGTGCAGTGCTGTTTTCTTGGGAACTTGATTGCTGCTTCCTTTTGGTTGCTGCTTCCTTGTCGTTTGTGTCACGTGACAAATTCAAAGCAAAACTCGTATTTTCAGTTCACTGATATTTGAAGTTGATTATAGGAATTATAATATAAACCATGCAGAAAACTTATACCTTAAAATAATTATTCAGCTATTTAAATTGCTAGTCGGAAAATTAAGCGAAGGAGATGAAAGCCGTTGGAAGCCGAGCGGTAAGTCCTTTAGGGGACTTTAGCAAGACTTGAATGAATTTGATATTTAATAAGCTATTCAAGCATAAAAAAATGAATTTTTAAGCTATTATTTACGAAATAAAGAGAAAAAACAACTATAAATGCTCTTGTAATATCAGTCAATATATGAAGCTTAAGCCTAATAGAGTGAGTTCGTTCTAGCTTGATCACGATATCTTAAAGTACACAAACCAAAACAATACTTACTCGTTTCTCCAAACTTGTCCGAGGGTAGTACTTTTCTTTTAGCGGCAATCATGGTTTGTTTAGAACAAGAGTGTAAAAGAAAATTTCTGCAGACGTTTATAAATGATCGCTACAACAGACCGGCACTGTCTTGAATGTACRTTTGGATTTGCTCGCCAAACAAGGGATATCGTGACCATAGCGTGTGGTGTCAGTTTACTATTCCRTGTCTATTCCTTGCATACCGTCGCATACCAGAGGAAACACGAGATAAAAGAGTGGTCTGTTTATCGACCTTTATCGGATAGTTGTYGATCATTTCGTTACTTCAATATCTATATGAAGGGGAAGATGTCGTTTWACTGGCAGTGGTTTTATGTATAGCTCAAAGGAAAGGCGACCAAGAACGTATAAAATCATTTGACAAACCAATAGTTCTAAATCGATTTCGTGACTCGTTTGAAGATGGCCGATGGAGCCGGAGATCACGCCAACGATGACAAGAATAGTCCTGGTTCTCTTGGTTCTCTTAATGTTTCTTTGGTTTTAAAAAAGAAAGGTAAAAAACACGGTCYTTATAACCAGCATCTTTCAAGCACTGACTGACAGTACTGATCAAGAAGAAGTAGACACATCTAACAAAGATGATGAGGTCAACCAGAACTCAAATACACAAGACCAGTACTTCGCTGATAACGGGCCTATATATAATGGAGCACCAATCTCTGTAGCAGTTAGTATGCTACTTATAATTACATTTTCTGTTCGCCACAGTTTAASTGGACTGGCACTTATAGATCTACTAACACTTGTTAGTCTACATTGTGCTATCCCAAATCACTGTGGCTCTTCAATTTCTGTTCTCAAGAATTTTTTCACCAAATTGAAAAATCCTATTCAGTTGCACTACTACTGTACTTTTTGCATGGAGTATCAAGGGCTGTCTTTACCTCATAACAAACTTTGTAAAAACAAATGCTGCCTAAAGAATCTTGAAGAGAAAGGAAAGTCTTCTTATTTCATAATCATCCCATGGAACTTATGGATCTGACACAAAGTAAATGCTTGCAGTGTCCATTTCATCATATAAATACCATCTTAAGCATTCTTAATAATTTCATAGCACTTTTTTTTAATTTTTTAATGATTATTGTACATTGAATACAACTGATCATATTGTATTTCTTCAGAGATGGGTTTCTTGACCTTCTTAAATATCCAATAACCMGAAAAAAGAGTGATCCAGATGCAATCGAGGATATTCAAGATGGTTTACTTTATAAGCGACATTTTGGAGATGTTTTTTTTAAAGGAACATCAGAGCAAAAAAAGAAGAGTGAAATCCATATAAGCTTTCAGATGAACACTGATGGTGTAGCCATTTTTAAATCTTTCAAATACAGTATTTGSCCACTTTATGTTGTAATAAATGAGCTTCCACCCAATCTCAGGTAAGGTACATGTCTGACTTAATCGACAAACATAAAATGTGTGAAAATACCTACTAAATATAGAGATAACTAAACAATTAAATTAGGCATATTATATTATTAAAGTTATAGTTATGATTGCTCACTTTTATTGTTTGTGCTCTATCTACACTCTATAAGCATTTTAACTTAATTTGCAAGTGGAAAATGTAGTCTCCTTTGCAGACGTTATTAGTATCGGTCACAAATTCCCTCTCCACTAACGTCTGCTCAATGGAGCGATGCATTCCATTCCCTATTTTAAACCAATCACAGCTAACCTACTATAATCGAGGAGCTTGAAGATGATTGGCTGAAATCTTACGCGCTGGCTTAAACAAAATGGCGGCGTCGTTCGATGAAGCGGCTAGAAATACTTGCCTTAAACACAATTTGAAGCGTTAACTTCTTATCAACGAGAAGCTTTGGTGGAATTTGTGTTAAACAAGAGGGATGTATTTGTTAATCTCCCCACAGGAAGTGGAAAATCAATGATATATCTTGCTCTACCGTTGCTTTTCGATAGCATGTTTCATGAGGTTACTGGTCATATAGTCGTAGTTATTTCTCCTCTCATCAGTCTAATGAGGGATCAAGTTAGTAGTCTTCGAGAACTTGGTATATCAGCAGTAAGTCTGAGTGACATTGAAGATTCCGAGRTCAAGGACATTGAGAATGGAAATTTTTCAGTTGTATTCGGTAGTCCTGAAGCTTGGTTGAAGTGCGAACGATGGAGAAAGCTATTGAACAGCAAAGTTTACAATAACAAGCWATGTGGTATCGCTGTGGATGAAGCTCATGTCATAAAACAATGGTTAGTAATTTTCATCCATCATTCTTTTTAATCAACTTTTCAATATCCTTAAATGTACATCGTAAAATTAACTTAAGCTTATAGAAATGAAAGAAAGAAAGCTTAGTACTTATAGAAGTAGGCAATAACTTTMAGCTTACTGGACCTTATTAACGATCACTGTTTATTACATTAAGCTTACTTAATTTATTTTTTACCTAGCTATACCTCGGAWTAAGTTKAGGAAATAAATGTGGTTATATACGCACTTAATGTTATGTTATTCACTGTATTAAAAAGAGTGATATCCCAAATAATATGCAAAAAGTTCGGAATTATATAACTTGTGTGTTTATTTTCTTACAGGGGAACCTCCAGTAGTACTCGATATGCTGCATTCCGGGAAACATATTCAATGCTTCACGAACTGAGAGCTTTAGCTTCAGTAAATATGATTGCACTAACTGCAACATCCACAAAATCAACCAGCAGGGAGACAATTATTGAAAGCTTGCAAATGAAGAATCCCTACATCATCTATGAAGCACCAAGTAAACCAAATATTTCTTATTCTGTGTGCTATATGGCAAAAGAAGGAACTGTTAGTGAATATTTCCAGTGGTTGGCAGATGAACTAAWAGAGTTTGGTACAAAGACTACATGCACAATTATTTATTGTCAAACAATAATTCAATGCTCTTTGATATATTCAACTATTAAGGGAATACTAGAAAGTAAGTTGTTTACTGGAGAAGSAAATGACAGAAGGCATGTGCTGTTGGAAATGTTACATTCATGCTCACCAGAATCCAACAAAAATTTGATACTCAAGGCATTTCAAGACAAAGATTTTGATCTACGTGTCCTGGTGGCAACGATAGCATTGGGGATGGGAATCAATTTTTAAGGGGTTTACAGTACAATACATTTTGGACCATCCAAAAATGTTGAATCATACATTCAAGAAAGTGGGCGAGCAGGAAGAGACGGACTGCAGAGTTCCTCATTTATACTATATCAAGGATTAATGCTTAATCATGTCAGCAAAGATATTAAAGAATACCTTAAGACTGATTGCTGCAGAAGGAAACATTTGATTGAAAATTTTGACTTGGCTTCTGAAGTAGACTATCCCAGTCCCATACACTTGTGTTGTGACATCTGTGCAAAGAGTTGTTCATGTGAGAGTCCAGATTGTAACTTTCCCTTAYGATCYTTTGAAGAGAACCTCAAACACAACAAGTGACAGTGAAAGATCAAGGATAATACTTGATGAAGAAAAAGACATGGTTCTGACTTCACTTTATTCCTATCAAAATCATTGAGGCGAGTTCTAGTACAGATGTCTACTTGCAATATTAAGAACAGAAATATGAAATTTCTCCTTTGCTTTTCTGAGTTGCAAATTGATCAAGTTATGAAGAATTGTCATAAACTGTTTAYAATTGATGATGTGATGCAGTATGTTGAAATATGGGACATCAAGCATTCCTATAATATATTGAGAATTATGAGTCAAACCTTTGGAGATATTTCTGATGAATTTTTACATTTTGATAGTGAAGAAGAACAAGAAGAATCTTGTCTTAACGACGATGATTTTGGTGAGTGGAAGTGCTTATTAGAAGATGATGAGTTGTTTGAATTAGCACTGGTGAACGTATCTGCTTCTCTTCTGGATATTTCCATGGATGAGACATTAAATAATTCAAATAATGTTGACCTACCCAGTTCTGCTTTGGGTGCATTAGAATGTATGACCTTATAAACATTTTTTGTAAATGCATGTGTTTATAAGGTCATAAATTCTAATGCAATTATTTAAAATATTTAATGTCTCATTGATGAAGATATCCAGAAGAGAAGCAGAAGTTCAC